CTGTCTATGTGTGCTGGTCTTGGGGATTGAACTCGGGCTGGGTGCTGTCCCTGAGCTTTTTTTGCTCAAAGCTAGCACTCTACCACTTGAGCCACAGCTTCACTTCCAGCATTTTCTTTCTTTCTTTTTTATTGGAGGGGGGGGGTTAGAGATTAGAATCCCATGTTTGGGGGTGGGTAGTTGTGGAGGTGAGAGGGAAGGGATGGTAGGGGAAAACAGGAGGCAACAATGCTAGATAGGAAAGTACTCATTACCTTGCTCATGTAACTGTAACTCCTCTGTACAGTATTTTTACAATAAAAAACTTACAAAATGAAAAAAAGAATCCCATGTTTTTTCCTGCCCTGGCTTCCAACTGTGATCCTCAGATCTCAGCCTCCTGAGTTAGTAGGATTACAGGTCTGCCACCAGTGCCTGACAATATTCTAGTCCTTTCAAGGGTGACATCTCTTAAGTGGCTAGAAGAGGTCCTTTTTGGCTGTTATGTTGGGCTCTACATGAAAGTCCTTTCTAGAACTCCCCCCCCAGTTCCAATGCAGAACTAACTCCCCAAGCAGAACCACTTAAAATATTTTTCTAAAGAGAGTGTGTGTAGTGTGGTTCAGTAGTAGGGTGCTTGCCTAGCATGTGAGGGGGCTGGGTTTGATCCTCATTAATGCAATCAATAATAATAACAACAACAAAGGCAAGAAGCCTAAAGGGGTTAAAAGAAGGTGTGTTCAGGGAGGAGGAGGCTGTTGCAGAGACAATGGAAATGGAGCCAGAGAGGTGACTAATTAGTGGGGCAGAGAGGAGAGAAATGGTACAAAAGATACTTGGAATAAAAATCAACAGTTCTAAGTGACCTGCCTGTGGAGTGGCAATTTAGGAGAAAGACTTGGTAGTTAGCCAAAACACATTAGAAAGGTAGAAACTCATACTATGTATTATTACACAATCAAGGTGTTCTGTAACTTAGAAAGAAGTTCAATTGTGTCTCCTAATAACAAACTACATTTTGAGAGATGCATCATTAGACAATTTCATTGTTGTGCAAACATCATATAGGTGTACTTACACAACCTAGATAGTTTAACCAAAATAGGCCTAGGCTGAGTAGTACACCATCACCCAGGCAGACTGTCAGATGAATGATCCATCATCATGTGGTTCACGGTTATGTATGTTTTCAGCTCTGTCACAAGAGAATAAGCCAATAACAGGGATCTGAATACCCTTCTGAATACCAGCTTCCATTGTACTCTAGGCAAGGAGATTTTAATCTCTATTGCTTTTTTTTTTTTTTTTTTTAAAGAAATCAAGACTTTTTAGAGGGTATTTGACTTCATGCTTTGGGGAAGAAAAAGAATCAAGATAGATGATACCCTGGAGGTTCTAGAAAGGAATCTGGAAAATCTGTTTTCTGTTGGGCACTGCTAAAAAAAAAAAAGTAGGCACCAAAAAAAAAAAAAAAGCAAGCTCCCATTGCCAAGTTGTGCAGATCTAACCATAAAGAATATTAACAATAAAAGACTATGAATTCACTATTGCATTGTTGGTGGGTATGTAAACTAGTACAACCACTCTAGTTAGCAGTCAGGAGTTTTCTTAAAAAAACTAAACATAGACCTTCCCAGCCATACCATTCCTGTGCATCTACCCGGAACATCACGAACCAGGATACCACAAAGACACTTGTGCATCATGTTCACTGCTACACTATTCACAATAGCCAAGTAGTGGAAACATCCCAGATGCCCTATAGTAGATGAGTGCATCGAGAAAATGTGGTTCCTATTCACATGGAATTTTACACAGCCATTAGAATAATACGTCATTTATAGAGAAATGGATGGACCTACGACAAACTATGTTAAGTGAGGTAAGCCAAGCTCAGAGAGACAAATGGCACATGTTTTCTCTCATATGCAGAAGCTAGATCTAAAATACTTCAGGATATGATAAGTTATCCAGGACCGTAGGCATTCACACAGTGAGACCCAAGGAGGATACTCTTAGGGGAAGAACACAAAGGCACAATGCCTATGTGCTATTGACCATATAAAATAATATTTATAGAAAGGAACACCAGGAAATGGAAAAACAAAAGACTGAGTTCAGAACTTCAGGCTGAAAGCAAAACATGAAATAACAATAAAAAGGTTAGCTGCAACTTCAATTTAAAAAAAGTTAATACTATAGTACTTGGGCAAAAGTCCTAATTTTTTTGTATGTTCTTAATGGGTTTTCTTCCCCAGAAAAGTAAAGCTGTTTGCCTAGTATGAATTTCATGGGAATCTGTCCATTTCTCTGGAAGATCCAAATTAGCTATTTCTCTAGGATAGTAACATCTTCCTTTGAGACCATCAGTCTGTACCCATCCAATGGGCAGAGAGAAACTAAAGTGACTTTAGTATCAAACACTCAAATTTTATCAGAGCATTTCAGCAAGAGTGCAAAATGTGGGCTAGAACTGCTTATTGGTTGGTCTATTAATCATATTGCACATATAAACAACATTTTAAAGTTAATTTGCTGGGCTCTAGTAGCTCATGCCTGTAATTCTAGCTATTCAAGAGGCTGAGATCTGAGAATTATGGCTTAAAGTTAGCCAGGCAAGAAAGTCTGGGATTCTTATATCTTAATTAACCCCCCAAAAGCAAGAAATGGAAGTGTGGTTCAAGTGGTAGGGTGCTAGCCTTGAGCACAAAAGCTCAAGGACAGTGCCTAGGCCCTGAGTTCAAGCCCCAGTACTGGCACAAAGAAATTAATTTAATGAACTTAGTTGTCATTAGAGCCAGAAGATGCTGTATTTTCATTGTTTGTAATAAATATACTGTTCTCAAGGGTTCACATTTCTGTTATGTGTCTTGAGCCAAAATCTTATGCTTTTACAAATAGAAAGATCATGTTTTTTTTTCCCCCCTTCTAGGAATAGGACAGAGTTGCAATGAGCAAAATTTAATAAATCAAATACTTGGGATGAAAATTGCTGTGATACGTATTTACAGAAATATTACACAATAGAGTTGTTGAGTTCACCCCAATTTTGAACATGTTTAAGATTTAGGCAGAGCTAATTAAGAGAATGGCATACTCCACCCTTTTAAAAGTGGCTTTCAACTAGGAAATCCTAGGACAATAAATACATCATGCTCATTAAAAATCATGTCCTAATGAGGGAAAAATGGTGATAAAGTGCAGCAGTGGAGCTCATTGGACATTGATGAAAGTGAACTATACAACTCGTGGGTGGTGACTGGAGGGAGGGACTGAGAGAGAATGAGGGAATAGAAGACACTGTACAAAAGGAAATGCACTCATTACCTGACTCATGTAATCCCTTTGTATATAACTTCTGTAATAACAATAATAAAAAGTTACATCCTACTTAGAGACAAAAATTCTAATAGCCAATTAAAATACACATTCTTTTACAGACAAATCAGATCTCTAAACCTTTGAATTTACAAAACATTAAAAAGAAGGCAAAACTGTTTCCGACAAACTTTTTGTTTTAAAAATAGGATTCATTTCAGGTTCCTTCCAAGAGTAAATACATCTAGCAAATGCAAAATATTTTGACTTATCTTTTTCTCAGGAAGATAGCAATTTTACAAATAATAAAATTCCATTGAGATGCATTAATAGGGTACCCTTAGGCTATCCAAAACTGATTGTGGTCATGGAACTGAGGAGTCCAGTCTTGTTACAGAGGTGGGTGGAAGCACAGAGTTGAAGTAATGGAATAATAAAGGAATTCAGCTCCTTCCCACTTATGGAAAAGGACCTGCCATCTTGGTAGTTCTCAAACATAGTATACCAGATCACCCTCTTGTTTGTTAGAGGGTGGCTATCTGTAGCTGGAAGAAACCTCAGAGATGCTGCTGCTGTATTTTTTCCACACTCTCACCCCAAGCACACATCTTACCTGCTTGTATGTGTCACTGGCAACTTAATCCTGGCAGCGAGACCCATGAACTGTACCTGGGTGAGTTTAATTCTGGGTAATGAGTGACTTGGCAGAGGTGGTCTCAGTCATCTTCCTACTTCCTGGGTTGTTTCCTGGAGCTTTTTGCTGTTTTTGTTTTGCTGTATTTTCTTGGTACAAAATTTAATATAACAAAAATAGTGCCCACATTGCTGCCCAATAAAAGCTTGGCTCCAGGAAGTGGTGCTGTGGCTCAAGTGGTAGAACACTTGGAGCTGAAGAGCTGAGGGACAGCTCCCAGGCCCAGAGTTCAAGCCCCACGACCCCCCCCCCCAAAAAAAAGAGCTTGACTCCATCACCTGATTTATTGTATGACTTATGCTTTATTTGGCTCTTGAATAGCCCCCACCCTCACCCCAGGGCCAGTGTGTTGAAGGCTTGGTTCAGGGAGCTGGAGGTGCTGTTGAAGTGGTGGAACCTTTTTTTGTTGTTGTTGTTGTTGGTTGTGGTGATGGTGGGGCTTAAACTCTGGGCCTGGGCACTGTCCCTTAGCTCTTCAGCTCAAGGAGAGCACTCTACCACTTGAGCTACAGTGCCACTTCCTTTCTGGTGCTTAATTGGAGATGTCTCACAGATTTTCCTGCCCAGGCTGGCTTTGAACCTCGATCCTCAGATCTCAGTGCCTTGAGTAGCTAGGACTGTAGTGGCATGAGCCACAGGTGCCCAGCTAAGTAGTAGAACCTTTAGGAGGTAGGACGTAATAGAAATAGGTTAGATCACTAAGGATTGCTCTGACTCCGTCCTGTCTCTCTCCTTGCTTCCTGGTTACTGTGAGGTGAAATAGTCCCACTATGATGTACGATGCTGCCCTAGGCCCAAAGCAACGGGACTAAGAACCACGGGTTGAAATCTCTGAAACTATGCATCAAAATAAGTTGATTAGCTCAAACTTTTTCACAGCAATGGAAAGTTGACTAATACACATTGTTTCTAAATTTTTGATTAACCTTAAAACATCTTTGAAATATAAGAAGAAATGTTTCCTACTGGAAAGATTCATGTAAAGATACATAACAAGGGACAGAGGAAATTGTACAAATCTGTTAATTTATTACAAAAGGTCCACTCACAGAAAAACACAAGGAAACTTTTATACTTTTGTATGTATTTGGGAAAGGAACTGGCTTCTCCATTACAAAATAATTTACACATAATCCATACAGTTTTATTTTATATATAGAAATAGGTCATTTTTACAACAACTGTACAATTCACTACACTCTGTCTTATAATTACATAAAATCTTTTCTTTAGAAACATCTCAACATAACAAAACATACAAAAAAAGTCAAAGTGCATTTTGAAACAAAATCCAATCCTTGGGAATGATTGTGAAAGATCTGTCAAAGGATGCAGCCTCTTCACACGCAGGCCAGCACGTGGTATAAGCATCCTCAGAGATGGCCCCTTTCTAGGCCGCTTGGCTTGTGAAACTCTGCCCTCATAGGATTAGACTTCTTTGTGGAATTCTGAAACATCAGGTACATATTTGTGCTTAGCTTTGGAGCCCCCTTGGTAGTTGCAATTGATAAAGTGAAGAGGAAATAGTCCAGTGTTATATGTTGGAGGGGACGATCACCATCAGTGGGAAATGGGCTGAAGAGCGTAAATCCACTAAGGTTTAGGCCAAGGATGCAGGTCTGCAGCTTTTTTAAAGACCAGCTTCGTGCTCTGGTTCATGGGCTATTGTTTGTTACTGTGGTCTCCAAGTGAAGCAGGAGACTATTTATTATTATTATTTTAAAAAACAGAAAGTACCTATAGTTATTTGCTCTGCATCTGTGCAAATTAAAACCAATCATTTAAAAATAATGAAAAATAATCTCTTTATTCTCTCTCTTTCCAATAATCTCTGACTCAATCCTTGAATGCAAAGGAAAGATGACCAAGAGACTGAAGGCCTGGGTAGAATAACCTGTGGGCTCTCTGAGGGTGCCTTGAAAAGCACTATCACCACAGGTAAACTGAGGAACAGTGACTTCACGCTTCCTGTCCAGTATGGCTGTAAAGGGTGGCAGAGAACCCTGATGTCCAGGAATCATAGCCAGTCTTCCTGTTCTTTCTTCACCCTCCAGAAGTGACCACCATCCAGGTGTTCTGAAATTTAGGGTACACAGAAGCAAGTGGCTTCTGTCCCTCTCCTCATGGCCAGCCACTTTCTGGTCCCTTGGTTAAAGCTGATTGTGTTTCCACTCCAGTACCAGGCCACTACCGGGGTGGTGGCTGCAAGCCTGAGGACTCAGAGAGCCGGCTGACCCTGCGGGGTGGACGAGGGGGCTGCTGTTGTGGCTGTGCAGGTGGTGAGGCATAGCCCAGGGTCCCTGGTTGCTGGGAGTAAGTGGAAAGAAGAAGAGAGTCTGGGGGCTCACTGTGCAGAGAAGCCGATGCCTGGACCAGAGAAAAGAAAATGAGATCAGAACTGGGTACTGGTGGCACATACCTATAATCCTAGCTACTCAGGAGGCTGAGATCTGAGGATTGCAGTTCAACGCCAGCCCGGGCAGGAAAGTCTGTGAGACTCCTATCTCCTCTTAACCACCACAAAACTGAAAGTGGTGCTGTGGCTCAAAGTAGTAGAGCGCTAGCCTTGAGGCAGAGAGCTCAGGGACAGCTCCCAGGCCCCAAGTTCAAGCTTCACAACTGACAGAAAAGAAAGAAAGAAAGAAAGAACGAAAGAAAGAAAGAAAGAAAGAAAAGATCAGAGCAGGTGTGATTGGCCAGCCTATCTCTGTCTTTAAGGCCACTATAATAGTCTTTGGGGATCTGGATGCTATCAGTGACCCACATCTATAATTCTAGCTATTCAGGAGGCTGAGATCTGAGGATCATGATTCAAAATCAGCCCAGGCAGGTAAGTCTGAGATTCTTATCTTCAATTAACCACCAAAAAGCTGGAAGTGGAGCTGAGGCTCAAGTAGTAGAATGCTAGTCTTGAGCAGAAAAGATCAGGGATAGTGCCCAGGGCCTAAGTTCAAGCCTGAGTAACAGTCCCCCCCTACTCCCCCCCCCCCGCCTCCCGCCCCCAAACAGCAACAACAATAACAAAATTCTTGGTGGGGGTAGAAAAGAGAGAAAGCTGGCACAGAAACTGTTTTCAACCCTGGGGGGTGTGGGTGTGTTGTTTCATGGGAGGGGTGGCTCAGGTCGCATTCTGAAGGCTGTGAATGGCATCGGAAGCAACTGTAGGCATTTTTGGGTGGTGCAGAATTCTGAAACAAGCTGTTAACAAGAACTCAGGGGTTCCTTCTGGTGTAATGGGCCTGAGGCTGAAGCTGCAGGAAATGGTTTCTTATACATGTGCACGATCCACACAGCCCACTGTGTTTGTGGAGGATGGAGACCAACGGCCAAGGGCAGATGGCAGGGAGGCAGGATGCACACATTCTGACATGCTTGTCCGCAGGGTTGCCTCTCCCTGACTTATAACACTCCCATTCACCACCTTCTACTAGCAAGTGTCCCAACTTCAAGTTTGAACTTCAGAAGCTTCAATCTCATTTCTACTCTTCTATGTCCAAGTAACCCAGCCTTTCTGCTCTGCCTATAAGGCTGTCAAGGATCCTGGTACCTGCCCTTGTGTGAGTTTGTGCTGCTGATCTGCCACCTTGTTATCTCTACTCCTCCTTCACCCACATTCAAGTGGGGATTTCCTTGACAGGTCAAACTCTGCAGTAGAGGCCTCTGAGCCTTCCTTCTCTCCAAATCCTTTCTCCCATGAATCAGCCTCCCCCCCCCCCACACACCCAGTAGTCCCCACTAACACATAGCCTGTGCTGTAGTAAACCACCAGGCCAAAGAGCTGTTGGCATCCTGACCCTGCATGCTGCTGCTGTAGCAGAAGTTTGGAAAGTGTTCATGTTCCCCCTCCCACGCCCGCCTGTCCTCTTCCTCATCATTCTTACCCCAAATCACTTTGTGCCTAGAGAACTAGCAAGCTCTGCAAAGCCAAATTAGGAGTGGACACCACTAGGCATGGTTTAGGGAGGTTTCAGAATTCACAGATTGTTTGGCAGCTTTGGAATGAAATTACAACTCAGACCTTCATCTCTGCCCCCAAACCCTCAAAGATGTTGCTGCCATGGTATGGCAGCCTCTGATTGAAGATACCAAGCAGGGTAAGAGGGATGTCCTTGCAGGGGAGTTGCACAGGACAGGGCAAGACTGACCACGTGTGGAGACCAGAGCTATGGAGGACCTCAGCATGCACCCTGACCCCGCCTGTCCAAGTCCATAGCCCACTGCTTCTGACCCCTCCTCCTCCCAGTATGTTTCACATTTGCTGAAAGTCATTTTTGTCTTCTGAATTGTGACTGTATGGCAGTGTGCTAATAGGCTCCATCTCACAATTTTCAGGTTTAATAAGGCAGTCCATTAGACCTTTTTTTTTTAAATAAAAAAAATTTTTTTTCCGGTCTTGGGGCCTGAACTCTGGGCCTGGGCACTGTCCCTCAGCTCTTCAGCTCAAGGCTAGCATTCTACCACTCCAGCCACAGAGCCACTTCCGGCTTTTTCTGCTTATATGGTGCTGAGGAATTGAACCCAGGGCCTCATACATGCAAGGCAAGCACTCTACCACTGAGCCACCTTCCCAGCCCAGTCCACTAGATCTTTAACTCAGTGTGATTTAATTTTACTTTTGTGTACATCTTTGTATAAAATTATAAATGTACAGACATGTTCAACAAGTAATGTCTGACTTTTGCACCAAAAAATATGGGCATATCACAATGTGTAACTGGTAAAAATTTCCTTTCAAAGGGGCCTTCATGGCAAGCAGCCAGTGGTTTATGTCTATATTCCTATCTACTCAAGAGACTGAGATAAGAGGACTGCTGCTTGAAATCAGCCCAGGGAGGAAAGTCTACAAGACTCTTATCTCTAGTTAACTGGCAAACCAGCAAAAAGCTGTAGGTGGATGTGGAGCTCAAGTGGTACAGTGCCAGCTTTAAGTGAAACAGCTAAGGAAAAGCATCCAGGCTCTGAGCTCAACCTGCAGGATTAGCACAAAAAAGGGGCCATGTAGCTAGGCGCCAGTGGCTCACGCCTGTAATCCTAGCTACTCAGGAGGTTGAGATCTGAGGATGGAGGTTTAAAGCCAGCCCAGGCAGGAAAGTCTGTGAAACTCTTATCTCCAATAAACTACCAGAAAACTGGAAGTAGCACTGTAGCTCAAGTGGTAGAGCACTCACCTTGAGCTGAAGAGCTGAGGGACAGCACATAGGCCCAGAGTTCAAGCCCCATGATCGACGAAAAAAAGGGGGGGCATGTTAGCAGATACCCCTTTGAGCCATAACAGCTTATCCTTAATTTGAATGTTACACATACATGGACTTTATAAGCTTTAAGCATTAAAAGCTAAAAATGGGAATCTTTCTGGAGCTTTCCTCTCCTATCAAAGACAGGACAGTCTTGAAAACAAGAGAAAGCCTATCTGATGTAGAATGTGTAGGATAATCCACCCTGTTTTCTGCGTCTAAACCTGTGTAGGTCCCCCTGGGCCCTGGTGCCCACCTGTAGGTAGTGTGGCGTCTGCTGCTGGGCCTGTGCCTGCAGGGGTGACGGCTGGGAGGCAGGGAAGCTGGGGTGAAGCACGGCTTGCCCCATCAGCAGAACGGGGGTTGCGGCGCTGCTGCTGGTGGCGTGCGAGTCTGGGCTAGGAAACACGGCCTGGCTCTGCGAATACCTGTTTAGTTTCATGTGGGAAGGAGAAAACAGATCTTCTAAGAAAGAGGCAGTGAGAGGATACTAAAGCGCTGGCCACAAAGGAGATCAGTTGCACATTAAAAAACATCAAAGGGCGTATCCAAGGTGGTTTTCAAAAAGCAGCCTGTGGGACGGGAAATCTTTGCAAGTTATATAGCTGATGAAGTGTCAACACTCACAATATATAGTCTCTTCAAAAGAATCCGATAGCTCCACTTAAATACTGTGTTATCTATATTCTAAAATATATAAAACACTTGTTAAAAATGATGTGGAGACAGTAAGCTTGTACATAATGCTGGTAGGAATGTAAAATGGAGCGAACTCTGTGGAAAACAGCACAGAGATCCCTCAAAAAATTAAACATGAAACTAACATATGATGCAGTAATTCCCTTTCTGAATATATACCTAAAAGAAGCAAAATTAGTGAACAATACTTGTACACTCACAGCAATGTTATTCAGAAGCCAAAAAGTGGAAAGAGACCAAGTGCCCATTAATAGAATGGATAAAAAAAATAAAGAATATATTCACAGAATGTAGTGTCATTCACTCTTAAAAAGAAAGACATTTTGACACAGTTACAACAGGAGTGAACCTTGAAGCCACCACACTAAGTGAAATAAATGGCATTCACCCGGAGACAAATGCTACATGAGGAATCTAGAATATTCCAAGTGACAGGGAGACAGAAAATGGAGCAAGGGTTGCCAGGGGCAGCAGGAGTGGAGGGCTGATGGTTAAACAGGGAGAGGTTCAGCGTGGGAAGACAAGGCAGTTCTGGAAATGGATGGTAGAGACAGTGGTGCAGTAGTGTGGATGCACTTAATGCCACTGAATGATGTACTTAAAAAATCATTAAAATGGTACACATCATAGTATATATATTTTATCATAATCTTAGAAATGACAGATGTTGATGATAATGGCTCACAGGCAAGGAATGCAGGAAGACCAGGAAGGAAAGATGTGGAGGATTATGGGTCAGAAATGGATGTTAGAAGTCAGGACAGAGAAATCTACCTCGCTTTATTTTAGAGAGAGAATTTCTTCAGTGAGGTTATCTGCAGTGGGTTTGGGGCTCCACACTTGCCTTGAGAGGTAGGGGTGTGTGTGTGTGTGTGTGTGTGTGTGTGTGTGTGTGTGTGTT